CCTTAGTAACATCTAACTTCCAATGACTACACTGACTAGCAGTGAGGAGTCCTCACCATTCTCCCATCCAAATACTAGACTTACTGATCTAAATATCCAAGTCTCAAACTCTACCAGTTGCTTGCCCAAATTTGCTCTTATTCCTCTATTTTACAAGTTCAATCATACTGACAGTTAACACAGCATCATTTCACATTAACTTTCACACAACTTCTGAATCATATCCAATTCTTCGCTATTTGTATAGCTCACTACTAGTCTGTTTCTAATTGTAGTGTCTTTGAAAGTTACTGTATGGGCTGTAATGTCTTTGCATGAGATCAAGGTTCTTGATCTCACACAAAGACCTAGATGGATTCTCACACTAGGTCCCCACCTCTATCTACCTACACACTTAATGGATTCTCAGAGGCAAGTTGAAGTCCCAACATTTGTAGAGAAAACCCCAAACTGCTTCTAACCATCTGTTCTGTTCCTCTCATCCTTGCATCGTATGCTTCCAGTCTAAGCAGCATATAATTTGACTTTTGATATGCTAGGTTTTTCCCTTGACAAAGCCCTATTTCAGCTTGACAAAGCCCTATTTGTCCTTCAAAACTCAATTCACCAACAACTCTGAGAAGACTTAAATTTCCAAAACAGAATTCATTTCTCCTTTCTAAACATGCCCAACATGCTTTATACATTCCTAATTACTACATAATCTCATGAGAGCTTCATTTTTTGTCTTTTTCTCTACACCACTATCATCAACCCCACATAGGAAAAAAAGACCAGAAGTCCCACAAGATAATCACTATTTCTATACCAGTGCCTGAGGCACGGGTTGCTCAACAATATCTTGGGATCTGAGTTATGGTACTATTTTAAGAGACTGTATTCAAGCATAATCAGTTCTGCTATATAATTCTTGTTTTGAAAATGCAAACTTGTTCTAACATGATTGATATATTAGGAAATAATATAATACAAATTCCCAATTTGTTTACGCACTATTTTGTCTACCAAAAAAACATTAGATGAAAGCAGAAAACTTACACCCAGCTAACTGAGCTGTAGAGAAATACAGAAAACAGACACACTTAAAACACCTACCAGCCGGGGCTGGGGTCAGTGGCATAAGCACCTGCCTTGCAAGTGTGTGGTCGTTAGTTCGATCCCCAGTACCGATAAAAAAGAAAAAGACAAAAAAAAAAAAAAAAAAAAAAAAAAAAACACCTACCAGCCAAATCAATTTCCCTGTGTCATGAACCAGTCAATTTATTTCTAGTATTATAACTTTCCATCTGACTTCCTGTGAATGCTCTCCAGGATTTCATAGTAACTTACAACAGCAACCCTTCTGACAGCAATCTACATAAACAAAACAGGTCTTTACTGTCAATTTATATAAAACATAAACAAACTAAGTCTTTACTGTCAACTTATATAAAACCAGGTATATACTGTCAATTCACATAAAAATGTCTTATTTTAACACACATAAAAATATGCTACCATTTTTATCAGGTTTCTCACTTTAATAATGTGTCACTGACAAATTTTATGAGTGTTGCACCCCAATTCTACTTTTTGCTAAGACCTACAGTTGCTATGAAACAATTATGCATAGCACAGGGATTTCTAGGAAACTATGACCTGCTCTACAGTCAGCAAAGCTGACTGTAACGGCTTCATACAGTTTGACTATTCCAATTCTAGTAATATACTGTAGAGAAAACAATGTCTTCACCCAAAATTTCATGTTTAAAGGCCATATCCCAACAAGCCATCAAAATAGTCATAACCTTAGCTCAGTGACTAACTTTTGGTAAACATGTTTTTCCAGCTCAGTTCTTTAGGTTGCCTAAGCTTAAATGAGAAGACAAGTTCTCAAACCTGAACTTGCAAGTGTACCACTTCAGAACTTGCTTTAACTGCTTTTAACCTCTTCTAAAATATACTCACTTTTTAATTTTAAATGGCTCAGTATTATGGGACAGTTGGGTAGAGCACTCTACAAAAGAGACCACAGACCCAAGAGATACCATATCCAAGATAAAACAGTCACTAACTCATTATTATCTAAATGTACATATGCAGTCTCTAGGTATTCTCTTCTCCACTTTGATGCCAAAGTGCTCACTAAATCACTTTGCTCCCCTGCCAAGAATATTTTGGCCCCTTCCTTCACTAGCAGAATGATATGAACTTCACACTTTCGAAGTCCTTCTGCTCCAGCTGCACCGTATCACTGGCCTTCCCCCAACACTGACACCTCAGTTCAACTCTAGTTGTGGTTCCTTTTGAAACGTTCTCTCCCCAGTTTGGCAAGCTCTTCTTCAGTGTTACTTTTTATAAACTTATTCCACACCTTCCTTAAGTTTGGGCATTCTTTTTTCTGTTCTTCCATAACTAGTACGCCTGCAAGGAAACAGAAACTTGAGTAGATTCATCTTTGAATTCTCAGGGTCCATCACAGTGGTTGCATACGCCACATATAACTAACTAAATGTAAATGGATAAAAGAAAGGTGAGAGAGATGAAGCCCAGAGATGGATTAAGATAGCCTACATAAGCATCCATCTTAGATGGATAACCCTAACCCTCTTACTTGTTCAAATCAAAAAGTACGGTACATTCCACTGTACTCTATAGCATATAGGCCATGTAGACAGTACTATATCTTACTTAGCATTTCTTAAGTTCACCTAGTATTTTATTAAGCACATTTTGTTGCAAGATGGCTACTTCCTTGAAATGAGAAGCAGGTAAAGTTCAAGAAAAAAGTAAATTAGTAAAAGTTTTGTAAAAGCTAGGAGATTTGAAACTTTCTTTTCCAGATACATAAAGTGCCAATCACAACACAAGTGTATACAGCATTTTACACACACAAATTCAAGTCTTATCTCTAGGAAAACACACATTCTTAGATAACATGTCTTAACCACAGCTTTCCAAACAGTGAACACTGCATGTAAGAGCAGGTTACAACTGTGACCACTCTGATCCCTCACCTCCCAAGACTCAGAGAATATGCAGTGAGCTGCCTTAATCAATTTACTCTGTGGTGCCTTAGGTAAAGTATTATCCTTTTCTCTTTCACTAAAAGGAAAAATTGTATGCTTTAAATAAGACTAAAATAAAACAGATACAGTGCAAGTCTAAATATTAGCCAAAATGTACACTTACAAATTTTAAGTACAGTGGGCAAAATCCTACAATGTCTTCATTTGTAATGAGGCCAGAGTTCTACAATCAAAACTCATCTTTGTTCATAAGATATAGTCAGAAATTTCCCAACAATTGTAGTTTTATGTTGTCAACAAAACTGAAGAAACACAAAAGCACCTACAAATTGAACAGGCATTCAAACAGAGCTTCTCTAGCTATTATCTTCGTTAAACAAGACATATCTGAAATTATCTTAAGAATGACTTTCAGAATCTTCAGCCTCACAAGAAAATCTTCCATCTTTTGTCAAATATTTGATTTTTTTGTCACTTCATTAAATATACTATTCACCTGAGAAGTGACCAGACAGGACTACCTTAAGTAACTTCTATCCATTAAAACATATACTATATTAATGTTTTTGGATCATTGAACACAGCTGTTTGTAGTCTCTCTGTTTGAATGTCTACTTTGTATTCTTTGATACTGTGATTTGAGCAACTATTTCCAAGATGATAATATGTAATCTATTAACAGGTGATTTCTTACTGTTATGCTTTTTTTGTAGTTCTGTATTATATGTAACCTTACACTGCTTTGTTTTGTTTTGTGTTTTTCTCTTTTTCCTCTTAAATTAAAAAAAAAAAAAAAAAAAAAAACATATCCTGCCATCCCCGGAGAGCACTTCTCCAGCAATTTCATAACAATCTCACTGCTCTCATTTGCACACAAAAACCCTGATCCTTTCCCTCGTAACTGTAGTACCTTGGGCAAGGAACTTTTTGCTTTTTGAATGTTTCCTTTTGAGCAGCTGTTCTCCGATCTGGTCTAAAAATGTTAACTTTAAAATTTATTCTAAGTCATCTCATTTTGAAGTCTGACAACTGTCTTCACAGCAATTATCAAAAAAGTCTTCAAAACTGTTTGATGCTAATGGCCACAACAGTTTCTACAGCCTACAAAACTTGTCTCGGCATGGTAGTAAATAAAATTACCGTACTGTGAAACTACACACTATTTTATTTTTCACCGATTCACTCTCTTCCTCTCCAAAGTTAAATTCACAGACACATGTAGGCAAACATTCAGCAGTAGTAATAATGAAGCAATCCACCTGGAAAACAGTCAGTACAGAAACTCAAACTCAGGGAGAATACACCAACAATGTCAGCCGAACATTGTAACAGCAAATCCAAGAAGGTCAGAGACGGTGACTATTCACAATGTGGTCATCCGCCGGAACAGTTAAAGAAGGCTGGTCAGAGGTGTAGATTAGCAGGGTCTCTCGACAAAGTAAACGAGGAAAGGAGGAAAGGAAAATTTAAGTTCCCGAAGAAAGCAGTAACGTGCTGAAAAACCGAAAGGCAAGATGTGATTCGGGTTACTGTACAAAACTAGCTCAAGTAAACAGCACCATCCCCGAGTCCTCAGCGCGTAACCCTGAACTCAATCTCCTCCTCGGGTGCTACGCGACCTCTACATCTGCAGCCCACCGCGTCCTGTGCCCCCACACACCGGCCCTGAACGGAACCCCACCTATATCTTGGGGGAGGTCTGCCCTGCGCCCGGCCGGAGCCACACTCCGCGCGCCGCCGCACCACCACTTCTCCGAAGTTGCCGCGGTCCCGCCCCGCCCCGCCCCGCCCGCCGTCAATCAGCGCGCCCCGCGGGCTCGGGCGGGGGCGCGAGCGGGAGAGCGAGCGGCAGCGGCGCGCGTGGGGGCGGGGAGCAGCCGACCACCGCCCACCGAACTGAACTAAAGTTGCCGCGACCGGCGGGCGCGAGCGGAGTCCGGGGCACCGCCGCCTCGGGGCCCACGGCACTGCGGCCCCGGCCGCCTGGCTCACCTCGCTCACCGTGCCGCCTTCCTCCTCCTCCGCCGCCGCCGCCGCTGCCGCCGCCTCCTCCCTGTGAGCGCAGCGGGGCCAGACCTGTGGAACCACCATACCAGTCCGCCTCAGCCGCTGCTCTTTGTTCCCGCTCCCTGCGCCACCGCCTCCGCGGCCCGGGCGGCCGCCGCTCCGCCCTCACGCCCTCTCTGCCCCCGGCCTAGCCCTCGGCGCTGCGCCCGCCGCCGCTTCGCCCCCGCGCCGCCGACGCCGCAGCCACCGACGCCGACGCCTCCTCCGCGCCCCCCTCGTTTTCATTGAAAGCAAACAAGCATCATGGCGGCGGCCGTCCCCAGCCAGCGAGCGCCTCGGCCGCCGCCGCTGCTCCAACATCCCAGCCGCCAATTGGTCGGCGCCGCCGGGTGCGACCATCAGCTTCCTTCGGGAGGGACGCTCCGTAAGCCTCGACCCCCGGCTGGAGAGCAGTGGGCCAGCCCGGCGCTGGCGTCGCGCCGGACGCGGGATCTTCCCGCTCTTCTCACGCTTCGGCTCAGTCGCCGGCGTTTTCTTTTTCTCCTGGAGCTCGGTGTTTGATCCAGCTCAGGTTTCAACTCTGGCTGTTCACGTTTATCTGCTTTCCTCCGTGTTTTTCCTGGCTGTTACTCCCCGGATGACTCTCCTTTCCCTCGGGCCTTCTCGTGCCCATCACCTGGGAACTCATATCTATTGGCAGACTTTGAATCTCGGCTAGTATCCTCATGTGCCAAAAGATGAATGAGCAGATGAATTTTTCTTCCTGCCTCAGTTATACAGAAAAAAATAAATGAATGGTCCTTTTAGGTCTACTAAACGTCAATCAGTGAAGTAAATTAAAGACAGCTTTTAGTGATGGAGTTCCCCAGTCTTAAGAACGGATCACAGACTCCTTCGAAAATCCAGATGTCCCGTTCAGGGCAAATCGGTGATTGCCGGTGTGCAGGGGAAGGACTGATTGGAGCCATGATGTTCGCAACAGGAAACAGTTGACTGGGAGTTTGGGCAGAGATGAATTAGCCCCTGGCCCCTCCCTAAGTAACCTCACCATCTAGGGGCCAGAGTAACACCAGACTATTCAAATCATTAGAAATGTGCACACAAGGGTATGGTGCGAAGAAAAAGAAGCAGCTGCCCACCCATCTAGCTGGTGAACTGTTATGCACTACAGGCTCCTTCCTGGAAAATCAACTCTGAAGAAATGAGAGTGAATCTGGGCCATGTACTAACAACAGCAAACAAGGAGGACACCTCTCGCTGAATTCTGTCTTACGCTAGACGTGGGAAATGGAGTGGGAACAGGAGAATTATCAATGTAATAAAAGAATTGAGGGGTATATTAGTCGCTGTTATGGTTTGTATTTGGATCCCCCCCCAAGCTTCATGGTCATGGGAGTGGGTTTCTGGAGTTCCTGACTGATTCATGATCCCAGTGCTGGGATAACGGGTATGAATGCGATGCTCAAGTTGGTGTGGCCTACATGCAATATAAGGGACAGAAAGAGTCTTTTCTGCTTGTTCCTCCCTTTTTGCTGTTTTCTGCCACCATGAACTATTGCCCCTCTGCCACACCATCCTGCCTTGGAGCCAGTTGACTGTGGACTGAAACCTTCACAAACTGAGCTAAATGAACATTTCCTTTCTTAATTTTGGGTGTTAGGTTTGTCTCAGCAACAAGACAAAATTAACTGCAACAATTACTTTCACATTACTGGAACAAAAATATCTGATACCTGTAACTCAGAAGGAGAGGTTTGTTTTGGTTCAGTTTCAGTGGACTCTGTCCATGGCTGGTTTTTAGGGAGGAGGGGCAAGGCTGAGGAAAGCTATTTTGATGGCAATCATGAAGCAGAGAGAGGGGAAGAGTCAGGGACAAGAATACAGCCTTCCAATTTAAATCCCAGTGACCTGCCCCATCCAGGTAGGCCTCACCTTCAAACATGAGACTTTTGGGAGACATTTTACACCTAAATCATAACAAGGGCTGGAAGCTGCTCAAAGATGAGAATGTTCTATTCAAGGCAAGAGTTAAGTAAATGGCCCTGGTAAGAACCACCACACTATGTTAAGGGCTTATATCTATGAATTCATTTAATCCTCATCACAAAATTACATGTTCATAGTATAGGTAGCACAGGGGGAGCTGGGAGACCATTTCCTTCTACCCACTTGAGCTTGGTCAGCATTTCAAGGCCAATCCTTTTGTTGTTTTGGCAGAAACAGAAAATAAAAGTAAAGACCCAGAAAATCTGTGAGGCTTCAGGTCAGAGCACATGCATGTTAGATCTCATAGCCTGTCGGTAACCTTTTCTCCCTTCTGTGTTAAAGGTTCATAAACATGGACTGCATCTCTTGTTATTTCATCAGAGTGAGCTCATCGAAAGCCCTTGAGGTGACTTAGTACCCTATGAACCATTCTTGTCAATTTTACCTAGAGACCCACTGAGAGGCACCCAGGCTGGAGTCCACTTCTTTTAAAATCTGAAAGCTTGATTTATCTGTGTGCTGTGCTGTGATTTTTACTTTCTTCTTGTCCCAGAACCACATTTCTGTTGGTGCCACGTTTTTGTCAGCAGGGATGCCTTGAGCAGTTTTCTATCAATAAATACCGTTGGTTTTTCATTTCCATTGGATGTATTCTTGGAATTCTTTGTTTACACTCAAGAGCCTTAAGTTTACCTGTTGGAGCCACCGTAGTATCAGTGGGTTCTACCATCATCTTCATTTTACTAAAAAATATCTATAAGCAGAGTGTAAACAGAAACCTAGTGAAGTTAGAAGTAACTTTTTTTTTTTTTTTTTTTTATTTAAGAGGAAAAAGAGAAAAACACAAAACAAACCAAAGCGGCGTAAGGGTACACGCAATACAGAACTACAAAACAAAACAAAACAAAACAAAACAAAACAAAAAACCATAACAGTAAAAAATTACCTGCTAGTAGATTACACACTATTTTCTTGAAAATAGTTCCTCAAATCACAGTATCAAAGAACACAAGGTGGACATTCAAACAGGGAGACTGCAAACAGCTGTGTTCAATGTTCCAAAAACATTGATAAAGTCAGCTATTTAACACCCCCAAACACACTTGCTGTTATATCCGTTAGAGCTCCTTTTCTTTTTTTTTTTTCCCTCTCTTTTTTACAACAAAATTTACACATCTTGGATTTTATTACTCCTTAGTGCTTATTACTTTCTTTGGGGGGGGGGGAAGAATACAGTCAAATATGGCAAAACAAAGCTGTCAGTCAATACCAAGGATAGACGTAGCACATGGTGTAGAACAGAGTACAAGTTTATCAACAATGGTTATCAACGTTGTCCCTTGTTTCCTTAAAAAGAATTGTCTATCTTATTAGATATTATAAAGTTGGACAAAACAGTAGAGAACAAGACCAATAAAACTTAGGCGTTGTAAACATTACAGGACTTCCAAAGAAGACAATAGTCAAACCAGAATGGGTATCTTAGTGAATCTTATTGTCTTCAAAGTAGTTGCCTATGTCTTCAAACTTGATACTATCATATAGAATGGAACAGAGTCTAATCAGTCAAAACAAGATCGTGGGAGTACTACAGGACTTCAAAACAAGTTAATAGGAAATCGAAAAGAGTTACTATTTATATATCCTAATTTTTTTGAATTTTTTCTTTAATTAAGACAAACATAAGAAATGACTAAATAATTTTTTTTGAAACAATAAGGGGGAGATTGAGATAAAACAGGACATAACAATATAACAATAGAGGTCACAGCATGACTGTTTCAATAACCTAGTACTTCACCACCTTATAACCTGACTTAATAGTAGTTACCATAGTGTCTTTTTCCTTGAAATATTTGGGTAAAACTTCATATACTCTAGCTTCAAATATTTTCATATCAAGAAGCCCAGAATAAAGCCTTTCTAATTAATGAGTGAAAACTTTATAAGGCTTCAAGGCCACCTAATGGGGAATCATGATTACCACATATTTTTATATATTTGAATCATTACTTACATTAGGGAAACTATTCGGTATTCACACATGCGAGATTGATTTATTTCACTTATGAGTATGGTCTCAAGCTGTGCCCATTTATTGATAAATATCTCAATGTGATCCTTCTTTATAGCTGAATAATACTCCATTGTATAGAAATACCACAACTTTTTTATCCATTCCTCAGTTGATGGGCACTTGGGTTGTTTCCAAGATCTGGCGATTACAAATTGTGCTGCTATAAACATAGGTGCACATATATCACTGTGGTATGATGCTTTCAGTTCTTCTGGGAATATGCCTAGAAGTGGAATAGCTGGAATAAATGGGATTTCCAGTCCCAACTTTTTGAGAAATCTCCAGACAGATCTCCACAAAGGCTGTACCAGTCTACACTCCCACCAGCAGTGCAGGAGAGTTCCTTTTTCCCCACAGCCTCTCCAGCATTTGTTGTCGGTTTTCTTGATCCTGGCCATTCTTTCAGGAGTGAGATGGTATCTCAGTGTGGTTTTAATTTGCATTTCTCTAATGACCAATGATGATGAGCATTTTTTCATGTATTTATTTGCCATTTGCATTTCTTCATCTGAGAATTGCATATTCATCTCAGATGCCCATTTTTGGATTGGATCTTTGAATTTCGGAGGTCTGAGTTTCTTTAATTCTTTATATGTTTTAGACAAGAGGCCCTTGTCTGAGAGAGAGTTCACTAAAATCTTTTCCCAGTTTGTGGGTTTTCTTTTCACTATGCTGGAGATTTCTTTTGACATGCAGAAACTTTTTAATAAGAAGTGGTCCCAGTTATTGATTCTGGGAAGTATTTCCCGTGCGGTTTGAGTCCTGTTCATGAATTCTTTACCTACTCCTATGTCTCCAAGGTTTCTACCTATTTTGTCTTCCAATAGATTTAGTGTTTCTGTTTTAATATTCAGATCTTTGACCCATTTACATTTTAATTTAGTACATGGTGATAGACATGGGTCTAGCTTTAGTTTTCGGCAAATGGAGAGCCAGTTTTTCCAGCACCATTTATTAAAGAGACTGTCGTTCTTCCAGTGAACCTGCTTGGCTCCTTTATCAAAAATAAGGTGGTTGAGTGTGTTTGTAGTTGTGGTTGTATCTTCTAATCTATTC